GACCATCAGAATAGTGTTGTTAATGGACTGGTACCTTTAGGAGAGACAGACCATCAGAATAGTGTTGTTAATGGACTGGTACCTTTAGGAGAGGACAGACAGACCATCAGAATAGTGTTGTTAATGGACTGGTACCTTTAGGAGAGACAGACCATCAGAATAGTGTTGTTAATGGACTGGTACCTTTAGGAGAGACAGACAGACCATCAGAATAGTGTGTTAATGGACTGGTACCTTTAGGAGAGACAGACCATCAGAATAGTGTTGTTAATGGACTGGTACCTTTAGGAGAGACAGACCATCAGAATAGTGTTTGTTAATGGACTGGTACCTTAGGAGAGACAGACAGACCATCAGATAGTGTTGTTAATGGACTGGTACCTTTAGGAGAGACAGACATCAGAATAGTGTTGTTAATGGACTGGTACCTTTAGGAGAGACGACAGACCATCAGGAATAGTGTTGTTAATGGACTGGTACCTTTAGGAGAGACAGACCATCAGAATAGTGTTGTTAATGGACTGGTACCTTTAGGAGAGACAGGACAGACCCATCAGAATAGTGTTGTTAATGGACTGGTACCTTTAGGAGAGACAGACAGACCATCAGAATAGTGTTGTTAATGGACTGGTACCTTTAGGAGAGACAGACAGACCATCAGAATAGTGTTGTTAATGGACTGGTACCTTTAGGAGAGACAGACCATCAGAATAGTGTTGTTAATGGACTGGTACCTGTAGGAGAGACAGACAGACCATCAGAATAGTGTTGTTAATGGACTGGTACCTTTAGGAGAGACAGACCATCAGAATAGTGTTGTTAATGGACTGGTACCTTTAGGAGAGACAGACCATCAGAATAGTGTTGTTAATGGACTGGTACCTTTAGGAGAGACAGACAGACCATCAGAATAGTGTTGTTAATGGACTGGTACCTTTAGGAGAGACAGACCATCAGAATAGTGTTGTTAATGGACTGGTACCTTTAGGAGAGACAGACAGACCATCAGAATAGTGGTGTTAATGGAACTGGTACCTTTAGGAGAGACAGACCATCAGAATAGTGTGTTAATGGACTGGTACCTTTAGGAGAGACAGACAGACCATCAGAATAGTGTTGTTAATGGACTGGTACCTTTAGGAGAGACAGACCATCAGAATAGTGTTGTTAATGGACTGGTACCTTTAGGAGAGACAGACAGACCATCAGAATAGTGTTGTTAATGGACTGGTACCTTTAGGAGAGACAGACCATCATAATAGTGTTGTTAATGGACTGGTACCTTTAGGAGAGACAGACAGACCATCAGAATAGTGTTGTTAATGGACTGGTACCTTTAGGAGGAGACAGACAGACCATCAGAATAGTGGTTGTTAATGGACTGGTACCTTTAGGAGAGACAGACCATCAGAATAGTGTTGTTAATGGACTGGTACCTTAGGAGAGACAGACCATCAGAATAGTGTTGTTAATGGACTTGGTACCTTTAGGAGAGACAGACCATCAGAATAGTGTTGTTAATGGACTGGTACCTTTAGGAGAGACAGACCATCAGAATAGTGGTGTTAATGGACTGGTACCTTTAGGAGAGACAGACAGACCATCAGAATAGTGTTGTTAATGGACTGGTACCTTTAGGAGAGACAGACAGACCATCAGAATAGTGTTGTTAATAGACTGGTACCTTTAGGAGAGACAGACCATCAGAATAGTGTTGTTAATGGACTGGTACCTTTAGGAGAGACAGACCATCAGAATAGTGTTGTTAATGGACTGTACCTTTAGGAGAGACAGACAGACCATCAGAATAGTGGTGTTAATGGACTGGTACCTTTAGGAGAGACAGACCATCAGAATAGTGTTTGTTAATGGATGGTACCTTTAGGAGAGACAGACAGACCATCAGAATAGTGTTGTTAATGGACTGGTACCTTTAGGAGAGAGACAGACCATCAGAATAGTGGTGTTAATGGACTGGTACCTTTAGGAGAGACAGACCATCAGAATAGTGTTGTTAATGGACTGGTACCTTTAGGAGAAACAGACAGACAGATCTCTCTGTCTCTCTCGTTGTCTCTTTGTCTCTCTGCTGCATGTTAGCTTCGCTCCAACAATACACTACTGTCTCTCCCAGTAAACTGTTCTCTGTGCAGTCTGGGATTGGCATGTACATTCTGATCAATCCTTGCATCCATACCTCTGTTTATGAATTTGACAGTGGTTACATTTGTCAAGCTTCATCCCTCAGCTATTTACCAAAACAAACCGCTTTGTTGTTTTTTCAAAACCCGGTTTGCCCCTTTAACCCTCAGCCCAGCTCCAGGCTTGACCAGGCTGTTAAAGCAGGATCTGTTGTGACCAAACTCTCTCTCTCTGCTGGATGGGGACACAGAGAGTAAAGTAGGGCCCTGCAGACAGCTATTAAACCCTGCTCTGATAGAGGACAGATTCATGCTGAACACCCACAGAGCATCCCTGTGTAAATAATTGTTGTTTGCTGTAGGATTTGTGGGTGAGTTTGTGGTACAATGTTTCAGAAGTGCTTATGGGACTTTTCCTACAATTTATTTTTTATTTTTGTAACCAGTGGCAACAACACTTGAACATATTTCATATCCCAGTAAAACCAGCCACTAGCTTAGTACAGATGCATGGTTGTAGTAAGCTGTGACTATCAGGTCATAGTAAACTGTTAGCTGTACAGATCATCGTTCATTATTCTCACAACCCCATTTCTGTGTGGTCCCAGTCTCTGTCATATTCACTGTTTGGGAAATTAAATATGTTAAACTTTAACCACAAAATGTCTGCAATTGATTCCCAGCAGGCAGACTCCCTCCTCTTGTAAAGGTCATGTTCCTCCAGAAAGACTATTGTAACAGTGTGCAGCACAGTAAAACCAAGGCAGAGTTTTCTTTGTTTTACTGGGACGACTTGACCAGAGGTTCTGCTTCTCTCTCCTCCAGATCTTTGGAGTACATATCAGCGACATCAGGACCATTCTCTCTCTGTGATTGGAGTAGACAGCCTGACGGTGAAACTCAACATGCCAGTGATGTCAACGCCAGTCTACAGGTTGGTTAACTAATACATGATCACGTTGGTCCCGTGTAGCTCAGTTGGTAGAGCATGGCGTTTGCAACGCCAGGGTTGTGGGTTTCGATTCCCACGGGGGACCAGTATGAAAAAAAAAAAAGAAAGGTATGCACTCACTAACTGTAAGTCGCTCTGGATAAGAGCGTCTGCTAAATGACTAAAACGTAAATGATCTAAGTTCTTAGCAAGATTATATGTTTGATATGGATGTCAGTTACAGTGGGGAAAAAAAGTATTTAGTCAGCCACCAATTGTGCAAGTTCTCCCACTTAAAAAGATGAGAGACAAACTGAGGAAAAAAAATCCAGAAAATCACATTGTAGGATTTTTAATGAATTTATTTGCAAATTATGGTGGAAAATAAGTATTTGGTCACCTACAAACAAGCAAGATTTCTGGCTCTCACAGACCTGTAACTTCTTCTTTAAGAGGCTCCTCTGTCCTCCACTCGTTACCTGTATTAATGGCACCTGTTTGAACTTGTTATCAGTATAAAAGACACCTGTCCACAACCTCAAACAGTCACACTCCAAACTCCACTATGGCCAAGACCAAAGAGCTGTCAAAGGACACCAGAAACAAAATTGTAGACCTGCACCAGGCTGGGAAGACTGAATCTGCAATAGGTAAGCAGCTTGGTTTGAAGAAATCAACTGTGGGAGCAATTATTAGGAAATGGAAGACATACAAGACCACTGATAATCTCCCTCGATCTGGGGCTCCACGCAAGATCTCACCCCGTGGGGTCAAAATGATCACAAGAACGGTGAGCAAAAATCCCAGAACCACACGGGGGGACCTAGTGAATGACCTGCAGAGAGCTGGGACCAAAGTAACAAAGCCTACCATCAGTAACACACTACGCCGCCAGGGACTCAAATCCTGCAGTGCCAGACGTGTCCCCCTGCTTAAGCCAGTACATGTCCAGGCCCGTCTGAAGTTTGCTAGAGTGCATTTGGATGATCCAGAAGAGGATTGGGAGAATGTCATATGGTCAGATGAAACCAAAATAGAACTTTTTGGTAAAAACTAAACTCGTCGTGTTTGGAGGACAAAGAATGCTGAGTTGCATCCAAAGAACACCATACCTACTGTGAAGCATGGGGGTGGAAACATCATGCTTTGGGGCTGTTTTTCTGCAAAGGGATCAGGACGACTGATCCGTGTAAAGGAAAGAATGAATGGGGCCATGTATCGTGAGATTTTGAGTGAAAACCTCCTTCCATCAGCAAGGGCATTGAAGATGAAACGTGGCTGGGTCTTTCAGCATGACAATGATCCCAAACACACCGCCCGGGCAACGAAGGAGTGCCTTCGTAAGAAGCATTTCAAGGTCCTGGAGTGGCCTAGCCAGTATCCAAGATCTCAACCCCATAGAAAATCTTTGGAGGGAGTTGAAAGTCCGTGTTGCCCAGCGACAGCCCCAAAACATCACTACTCTAGAGGAGATCTGCATGGAGGAATGGGCCAAAATACCAGCAACAGTGTGTGAAAACCTTGTGAAGACTTACAGAAAACGTTTGACCTGTGTCATTGCCAACAAAGGGTATATAACAAAGTATTGAGTAACTTTTGTTATTGACCAAATACTTGTTTTCCACCATAATTTGCAAATACATTCATAAAAAATCCTACAATGTGACTTTCTGGAATTTTTTTCTCATTTTGTCTGTCATAGTTGACGTGTACCTATGATGAAAATTACAGGCCTCTCTCATCTTTTTAAGTGGGAGAACTTGCACAATTGGTGGCTGACTAAATACTTTTTTTCCCCACTGTATGTTATTGTATGCAGGGCATAGTGTGTTACTTAGTGAATTCTCTATAATTAAAATGTTGGGGTTCTGACATCATGAGTTGTTTATCTGTGAAGTTACCTGTCTTTTCTGTAGTAGACTGTAACCATGGGCAACGTGGAGAGCCAGAATGGCGACCATGTCTTCTACGGTACCCAACATGGCCACCTGTCCCGTAAGCACATGTCTCGTTCCCTCCGCATCTCCAACAAGCACCATCAGTCCCAGTCCAGCTCTGGTTCCACCCGCCGCACCCGCGACGCCTCTCAGGGCAAAGTAGAGCACCGTAACTCTGAGACCTCCACGCGCTCCAGCAGCACCCCTAGTATCCCCCAGTGTCTAGCGGACCACGCCCTGGAGCCCTTCAACCAGACCAATGTCCTGTCAGACTTCTCTTCCCCTATCTGGGTGGACCACGTGGCCATGAACCTCCGGCCCGTCTCCTTCCATACCCACCTAGACAACCCCTCTGTAGGGCTCCATCTAGATGAAGCATCACCTGGGGCTAGACCCCACGACCCCCAGGGTCTACAAGACGGAGGACTAAGCCTATACAGTAACAAGGGGGAGGCAACCTACCTCCAGAAGACCAGAGACGGACCCAGGGAACCCCGAGAGGGGGTCAGCTTCAAGAAGAAGAGGTCCAAATCAGCTGACATGTGGAGAGGAAGACAGTCTGGAGTTCAGTCTGTCAGACCTCAGCCAGGAACATCTCACCAGGTTAGAGAAGACAGACCTCAGCCAGGAACACCTCACCAGGTTAGAGAAGTCAGATCTCAGCCAGGAACACCTCACCAGGTTAGAGAAGACAGATCTCAGCCAGGAACACCTCACCAGCTTAGAGAAGACAGATCTCAGCCAGGAACACCTCACCAGGTTAGAGAAGACAGATCTCAGCCAGGAACACCTCACCAGGTTAGAGAAGACAGATCTCAGCCAGGAACACCTCACCAGGTTAGAGAAGACAGATCTCACCAGGAACACCTCACCAGGTTAGAGAAGACAGATCTCACCAGGAACACCTCACCAGGTTAGAGAAGTCAGATCTCAGCCAGGAACACCTCACCAGGTTAGAGAAGTCAGACCTCAGCCAGGAACACCTCACCAGGTTAGAGAAGTCAGATCTCAGCCAGGAACACCTCACCAGGTTAGAGAAGACAGATCTCAGCCAGGAACACCTCACCAGGTTAGAGAAGACAGACCTCAGCCAGGAACACGTCACCAGGTTAGAGAAGTCAGACCTCAGCCAGGAACACCTCACCAGGTTAGAGAAGTCAGACCTCAGCCAGGAACACCTCACCAGGTTAGAGAAGTCAGATCTCAGCCAGGAACACCTCACCAGGTTAGAGAAGACAGACCTCAGCCAGGAACACCTCACCAGGTTAGAGAAGTCAGACCTCAGCCAGGAACACCTCACCAGGTTAGAGAAGTCAGACCTCAGCCAGGAACACCTCACCAGGTTAGAGAAGACAGATCTCACCAGGAACACCTCACCAGGTTAGAGAAGTCAGACCTCAGCCAGAAAACACTGCACCAGGTTAGAGAAGTCAGACCTCAGCCAGGAACACCTCACCAGGTTAGAGAAGTCAGACCTCAGCCAGAAAACACTGCACCAGGTTAGAGAAGACAGATCTCACCAGGAACACCTCACCAGGTTAGAGAAGTCAGACCTCAGCCAGAAAACACTGCACCAGGTTAGAGAATGACTGTGATAAGCTATGACTGTGATATGAGGTTGTCTTACTTAGTTACTTGAAGATGAATGCACTAACTTTAAGTCACTCTAGATTACTCTGGATATGCTAAATGACTATAATATAAATGTAGAGAAGCGGGCAACTGGAGGGTTGTCAGTTCAAATCTATTTACATTCTCTCTCGTATGGATTAATAAACTATTCCTCTCTCTCTTTTTTCAGCACAGAGGAGATCATCGACACGGAGGAGGCAGAGGACTTCCCTGATTGTGATGGCCTGCTGGGGCTCGTGTCCCCTGAGGGTCTGGAGGGTGTGGACGCAGCAGGCCGGACCAACTCCCTGGACCAGCTCTACCGGGGCCAGAAGACCCCGACCCGCCGGCCCGCTGGACGCTACGCTAAGTGGCACCACGATGCTAACAGCGCCGCCCGGGAGGGTGAGGATGATAAGATGGTGTCTCCGTCGGAGGAGGATGGGAACTCGTACGGAGCGCATACTCTGCCCTGCCGACGCTCACACTGCCTGTCTGAGGGGCTGACCGATCACCAGGCTGCCACCTGCACCACCATGCAGGGACGCAGGGCACAGACCATACAGGTAGGATGTCACAATGTTGTTACACTGATGCCATGTTCGTTTTTAGTCATAGGATACACTCTGATTGCATATCATAGACCAGACAGGTAGGATACGTAAGGGATAATCAACTAAGTTTATGCTTTCTTTGGAAAATAATGAACGACGTGGAAGGTGTGTTCCACAACGCTCTGTGGAGTGGAACTGACCTTCCACGGAGTTGCATTATTTTCCAGAGAATCCCTAATAATAATAATAATAATAATAATATGCTATTTAGCAGACGCTTTTATCCAAAGCGACTTACAGTCATGCGTGCATACATTTTTGTGTATGGGTGGTCCCGGGGTTCGAACCCACTACCTTGGCGTTACAAGCGCCGTGCTCTACCAGCTGAGCTACAGAGAACCCATAGAGCCCCGAGTTGATTATCCCTTTTACACCATGGCTTTAATTTAACACGTGTGCCGCAAAAAAATGTGTTCATTTGCAGGTAGAAACGTGTTTAACATCCACTGAAGTAGCTAGCAAGTTTACTGGATAGATCCAGTAGTTGCCGTGGTAACCGAACAAACAGACTTGCTAGTTTCACTTTAACTCTACCCACATGTACATATTACTTCAACTACCTCAACTAGCCGGTGACCCCCGCACATTGACTCTGCACCGGTACCCCCCCTGTGTATATATAGCCTCCCTACTGTTATTTTATTTTACTTCTGCTCTTTTTTTCTCAACACTTTTTTGTTTTATTCTACTTTTTTATTAAAAATAAATGCACTGTTGGTTAAGGGCTGTAAGTAAGCATTTCACTGTAATGTCTGCACCTGTTGTATTCGGCGCATGTGGCCAATAAAATTTGATTTGATTTGATTTGAGCTAACCAAACCACCAGTCCTAGCTTGCTATTATGAAAATCTAATTCAACAATACCAATAATGTTTTCAATTCAACTTTTGCTTTCAAAAGTAGCTCAAACATGTAAGAATTAACTATAGCCATTGAATTCTACTGTGCGTTATAGGGAAATAATGCAGGCTCTAGAATGCCCTTCAAGCCAATCAGAAATGAGTATTCAACAATGCCATGGTATAAACACTGATATGATACTGATTTGAGTCAGATCTGGAGTCTATGTGATGTATAACTGGCCTTCTTGAGACTGGTTGAGTATCTGGAGCATCAGCAATTGTGTGTTCGATTACAGGCTCAAAATGGCCAGAAACAAAGAACTTTCTTCTGAAACTCGTCAGTCTATTCTTGTTCTGAGAAATTAAGGCTATTCCATGCGAGAAATTGCCAAGAAACTGAAGATCTCGTACAACGCTGTGTACTACTCCCTTCACAGAACAGCGCAAACTGTCTCTAACCAGAATAGAAAGAGGAGTGGGAGGCCCCGGTGCACAACTGAGCAAGAGGACAAATACAAATACATTAGAGTGTCTAGTTTGAGAAACAGACGCCTCACAGGTCCTCAACTGGCAGCTTCATTAAATAGTACCCGCAAAACACCAGTCTCAACGTCAACAGTGAAGAGGCGACTCCGGGATGCTGACCTTCTAGGCAGAGTTGCAAAGAAAAAGCCTGGCCAATAAAAATTAAATATTAAGATGGGCAAAAGAACACTGGACAGAGGAAGATTGGAAAAAAAGTGGACAGACAAATCAAAGTTTGAGGTGTTCGGATCACAAAGAAGAACATTTGTGAGATGCAGACCAAATGAAAAGATGCTGGAGGAGTGCTTGACGCCATCTGTCAAGCATGGTGGAGGCAATGTGATGGTCTGGGGGTGCTTTGGTGGTGGTAAAGTGGGAGATTTGTACAGGGTAAAAGGGATATTGTAGAAGGAAGGCTATCACTCCATTTTGCAACGCCATGCCATACCCTTTGGACGGCGCTTGATTGGAGACAATTTCCTCCTACAACAGGACAATGACCCAAAGCACAGCTCCAAACTATGCAATAACTATTTAGGGAAGAAGCAGTCAGCTGGTATTCTGTCTATAATGGAGTGGCAAGCACAGTCACCGGATCTCAACCCTATTGAGCTGTTGTGGGAGCAGCTTGACCGTATGGTACGTAAGAAGTGCCCATCAAGCCAATCCAACTTGTGGGAGGTGCTTCAGGAAGCATGGGGTGAAATCTCTTCAGATTACCTCAACAAATTGACAACTAGAATGCCAAAGGCCTGCAAGGCTGTAATTGCTGCAAATGGAGGATTCTTTGACTAAAGCAAAGTTTGAAAGACACAATTATTGTTTCTAACCTTGTCAATGACTACATTTACCATTCATTTTGCTATATTTCCTATTCAAACTCATGGAAAACAAGGACGTTTCTAAGTGACCCCAAACTTTTGAACGGTAGTGTATATGTTGTGTTTGTGTGTTTGTTTGTAAGTGGTGTGTCTGTGTGTATGTATTTCTCTCTCTCTCTCGCTCTCTCTCTCTCTCACTCTCTCTCTCGCTCTCTCTCTCTCTCGCTCTCTCTCTCGCTCTCTCTCTCTCTCTCTCTCTCTCTCCCTGTTTATCTCTCTCTCTCTCGCTCTCTCGCTCTCTCGCTCTCTCTCTCTCTCGCTCTCTCTCGCTCCTCTCTCTCTCTCTCTCTCTCTCTCTCTCTCTCTCTCTCGCTCTCTCTCCCTGTTTCTCTCTCTCTGCAGTAGCCCCAGAATATTATTATAGAAAGCTGCTCTGAATTCTAATGCTCCCCTCTCTGAATCTCATCCTGTTCACTAACGCTATATCTCTCTGTCTCTGTCTCTCTGTTTCTGTTCTCTCTCTCACAATTCAATTTAAGGGCTTTATTGGCATGGGAAACGTATGTTAACATTGCCAAAGCAAGTGAAGTAGATAGTAAACAAAAGTGAAATAAACAATTAAAATTAACAGTAAACATTACTCACACAAGTTCCAAATGTCATATTATGTCTATATACAGTGTTGTAACAATGTGAAAATAGTTAAAGTACAAATGGGAAAATAAATAAACATAAATATGGGTTGTATTTACAACGGTGTTTGTTCTTCACTGGTTGCCCTTTTCTTGTGGCAACAGGTCACAAATCTTGCTGCTGTGATGTCGCACTGTGGTTTTTCACCCAGTAGATAAATTGGGTTTGTTTTCTAATTATTTGTGGAGCTCTGTAATCTGAGGGAAATATTTGTCTCTAATATGGTCATACATTTGGCAGGAGGTTAGGAAGTGCAGCTCAGTTTCCACCTCATTTTGTGGGCAGTGTGCACATAGCCTTCTCAATAGCAAGGCTATGCTCACTGAGTCTGTACATAGTCAAAGCTTTCCTTAAATTTGGGTCAGTCACATTAACAAACAGAGCAAACTAGAATGCTATTTGGCCCAAAACAGAGAGTACACAGTGGCAGAATACCTGACCACTGTGTACTCTCTGTTTAGGGCCAAATAGCATTCTAGTTTGCTCAGTTTTTTTGTTAATTCTTTCCAATGTGTCAAGTAATTATCTTATCTAATTGTGTTGTTGTTGTCTTGGGCTCTGTGGGGTCTGTTTGTGTTTGTGAACAGAGCCCCAGGACCAGCTTACTTAGGGGACTCTTCTCCAAGTTCATCTCTCTGTAGGTGATGGCTTTGTTATGGAAGGTTTGGGAATCGCTTCCTTTTAAGTGGTTATAGATTTTAACGGCTCTTTTCTGGATTTTGATAATTAGCGGGTATCTGCCTATTTCTGCTCTGCATGCATTATTTTGTGTTTTTCGTTGTACACAGAGGATATTTTTGCAGAATTCTGCATGCAGAGTCTCAATTTGGTGTTTGTCCCATTTTGTGAATTCTTGGTTGGTGAGCGGACCCCAGACCTCACAACCATAAAGGACAATGGGTTCTATAACTGATTCAAGTATTTTTAGCTAGATCCTAATTGGTATGTCAAATGTTATGTTCCTTTTGATGGCATAGAAGGACCTTCTTGCCTTGTCTCTCAGATCATTCACAGCTTTGTGGAAGTTACCTGTGGCGCTGATGTTTAGGCCGAGGTATGTATAGTTTTTTGTGTGCTCTAGGGCAACGGTGTCTAGATGGAATTTGTATTTGTGGTCCTGGCAACTGGACCTTTTTTGGAACAACATTATTTTTGTCTTACTGAGATTTACTGTCAGGGCCCAGGTCTGACAGAATCTGTGCAGAAGATCTAGGTGCTGCTGTAGGCCCTCCTTGGTTGGTGACAGAAGCACCAGATCATCAGCAAACAGTAGACATTTGACTTCAGATTCTAATAGGGTGAGGCCGGGTGCTGCAGACTGTTCTAGTGCCCTCGCCAATTTGTTGACATATATGTTGAAGAGGGTGGGGCTTAAACTGCATCTCTGTCTCACCCCACGGCCCTGTGGAAAGAAATGTGTGTGTTTTTTGCCAATTTTAACCGCACACTTGTCGTTTGTGTACATGGATTTTATAATGTTGTATGTTTTTCCCCCAACCCCACTTTCCATCAATTTGTATAGCAGACACTCTTGCCAAATTGAGTCAAAAGCTTTTTTGAAATCAACAAAGCATGAGAAGACTTTGTCTTTGTTTTGGTTTGTTTGTTTGTCAATTAGGGTGTGCAGGGTGAATACGTTGTCTGTCGTACGGTAATTTGGTAAAAAGCCAATTTGACATTTGCTCAGTACATTGTTTTCACTGAGGAAATTAACTAGTTTGCTGTTAATGATAATGCAGAGGATTTTCCCAAGGTTGCTGTTGACGCATATCCCACGGTAGTTATTGGGGTCAAATTTGTCTCAATCTCTCTCGCTCTATCGCTCTCAAGACTTCTTCCTCTCTCTCTCTCTCTCTCTCTCTCTCTCCTCTCTCTCTCTCTCTCTCTCTCTCTCTCTCTCTCTCTCGACTTCCTCTCTCTCTCAAGACTTCTTCCTCTCTCTCACTCTTTCTCTCTTTGAAGACTCCTTCCTTCTTCCTTTTTTCTCATTGTGTCTGAGAGATATTACTCTGTCCATCCTGTTGCTAGAGTTGATAATAAGCTCCAGTAATGTATTAAGCGTAAAGAGAAAACAGGTCTGCTGTGCTAGTGTGTGTGTGCGTATGTCTGTCAATGTGTGTGTGTGTGTGTGTCTGTGTGTGTGTGTGTGAGTGTGTGTCTGTGTGTGTGTGTGTGTCTCTGTGTGTGTGTGTGTCTGTGTGTGTGTGTGTCTGTGTGTTGTGTGTGTCTGTGTGTGTGTGTGTGTGTGTCTGTATGTGTGTGTGTGTGTGTTAAACGTGCTGCTGTTCTCCTGGTGGCTCTATTGTTTTTCTGTTTGAGGCAGCGTCTGTGTGTGTAAAGTCACTCCCTGTTTGGAATGCCTCAGTCCTTTGTTATGATAATGAGGCGGGCCTGGGTAACAGTGTTTCAGTAAAACGTGTGTGGTGGTCCATTCCCTCTGGGTCTCCGGTGGGCTGTGTATGTGTGTGCATGCCTGCGTGCATGTGTGTTGGCCATGTCACCATGGTGCGGCCAGCGTTTGAATGTAGCTGCCGAGCGCATGATGCGGTCATGTGACCTGCCGGAGACAGTTTGGTTGGACCCTTCTTAGTCAGAGAGGAGAGGGAGGAACCTCAGGCATAGGAGAGTTAGTGAGGAGAGTTGGTGAGGGGAGGAGAGTTGGTGAGGAGAGGAGAGTTGGTGAGGTGAGGAGAGTTGGTGAGGGGAGGAGAGTTGGTGAGGGTGAGGAGAGTTGGTGAGGTGAGGAGAGTTGGTGAGGTGAGGAGAGTTGGTGAGGAGAGTTGGAGAGGAGAGTCGGTGAGGAAAGGAGAGTTGGAGAGTTGGTGGGGAGAGGAGAGTTGAAGAGGAGAGGAGAGTTGGTGAGGAGAGTCGGTGAGGAAAGGAGAGTTGGTGAGGAGAGTCGGTGAGGAAAGGAGAGTTGGTGAGGAGAGGAGAGTTGGTGAGGAAAGGAGAGTTGGTGAGGATAGGAGAGTTGGTGAGGATAGGAGAGTTGGTGAGGTAGGAGAGTTGGTGAGGAGAGGAGAGTTGGTGAGGAGAGGAGAGTTGGTGAGGAGAGGAGAGTTGGTGAGGAGAGGAGAGTGGTGAGGAGAGGCGAGTTTGGTGAGGAGAGGAGAGTTGGTGGGAGAGGAGCGGTTTGGGCGAGGAGGGAGCGTTCAGGGAGGCACGGAGGGGTGAGGTGGTGCGAGGAGAGGTGAGGTGGTGGGGAGGGTGAGGAAGGAGAGGAGACGTTAGTGAGGAAAGGAGAGTTAGTGAGGAAAGGAGAATTGGACAGGAGCGTTGGTGAGGAGCGCGAAAATGGTAAGGAGGGAGGTTAGTGGCGGCGCGTTGGTGAGGGAGTCGGGGGAGGAAAGGAGAGTTGGTGAGGAGAGTCGGTGAGGAAAGGAGAGTTGGTGAGGATAGGAGAGTTGGTGAGGCTAGGCGAGTTGGTGAGGATAGGAGCTGTTGGTGAGGATTAGGAGGTTGGTGCGGATAGGAGCGTTGGTGGGCGAGGCGAGTTGGAGGCGAGGCGGGTTGGTTTGGGTCGGAGAGTTGGTGGGAGCGGAGAGTTGGGTTTCGGGAGGAGGCGCGTTGGGGAGGAGGCGGGGGGGCGCGGTGACGGAGGGTGAGGTGTGAGGAGAGGTGCGGGCGGCGGGGGTTCGTGAGGCAGGAGCGTTAGTGAGGCAGGAGTTGGCCAGGAGAGTTGGTGACGGAGCCGCAATGGTAAGGCGCGGAGTTGTGCGGAGGAGAGGAGAGTTAGTGGAGGAGGAGAGTTAGGGCGGAGAGGCGAGGGAGTTGTGGGCGGAGAGTTAGTGATTATTGTCAATTATTTATCAACAACTGTAACCAGTTGTCCAGTGTAGGAAATCCTCACTGGTACCCTAGTTTATAGAAAGACCCATCTGTAGGCTAAGAAAGTGTAGGGTAGGATCAGTGACCTCAACATGTTGGATTTAAGGGCAGGGTTGCAACCTCTACTTCTGCAGAGACGGTATGGACTCTACTCAAGGTAGGG